TTCTATTGAAGCAAAGCAATTAATGAATTAGTAGACTGGCTAGTTGATTTTAAAATTGAAATTATGGATAACCGGCTAATTATAGATGTACCTTCCGACTGCGTTTTTGCAACTTGTGTGGATAGCCTTTCGAATCCTTTCCGATTAAGCTTGAGCGCACCTTTCTGACGGGTATAATAGTCTGAGGTTTGGGGGGCGAGTTAGAATTGAATTATGTGTTCACGATTTCTAGTTGTTGGCTAAAAGTTCTATCAATGGTCTATACGTTTTTATTTTATGTTCGATGTTAAAAAAAAAAAAAAAAAAAAAAAAAAAAAAAAAAAAAAAAGGAGAAAAATAATAATTTGTGGTATTGTTGTGACTCACGCTCTGATTTCCCCGCCTTGCTCACTCGAGCTTAACCCGTTGGGTGCACCTCGTCGCCTAAGTCTCTCGAGCTGTCGAGCTTGGGGGTTTCTTGGACTAAAGTTCGATTAATGGGTCAGGGAGATAACACAGTGGTGTCGAGCCTTGCACGAGTCACGATTATGCCCGTTTCAAAAAAAATGAAAAAAAGGAAAAAAATTGTGATGAAAATCACCAAAAATATTGTAGTTGTCATTTCTTTTATTTAAATAAATAGACCTACTTATGCCCAACTCGAGTTTTCGAATTTCAGAATCAAAACTTACTTTTCACCCACATTTCTACTCCAAAACCTCGATACTTGTGTTTATTGTTTAATTACGGATTCTTGAGTCTATCTTTCATTTTGGTGTAGAAACAACTAATTGCGTCTGTAAGAAAGTCGAATACCTTAAGCCGTATGCCATTCTAAGATTTTAGGTTATCTAGCTCGTTTCATCTTTGGAATTAATTGCAATGCTTTGACCAATCCGACAACATTGAGGGTGTGTTGTCTGAAAACCCTCACGAGACACAACTCGTCATTTGGGGGTACCCAGGGGTTCAACGGCTTGTTGCATACGCTAAATGCAATCGTGATTCCCTACGTTAGTGGCCTAGATATAGTTTGTTGTTTTGTTTCCTTTTGGTTGTAGGTTCGTTTTGATTTACTCGGGACGAGTAAAGATCTAAGTTTGAGGGTGTGATAAGTGTTCGTTTTGCACGATTTTTGCTTATCAATTCTTCGAGTTTTGGTCTTCGTTCGTCCGAGTTTTCGGCTTTATTTGTATATATTATGTTGTTTTTGTTTTATTTATATTTTAGGTAAAGAGAAGCTATTTTTGCCGATTCGAAACGATTTTGGAAGCGAAGCCGAAAATCAAACCAAACACGTGCAAAAGTGCATTATCGCGGGTGTGGCACTGTTTCGTATTTCAAGCATAACTTTTGCATACGACCTCCGATTGAGCTGATTCAAGTGGCCTTAGAAAGCTCACTTCAAGATCTACAACTTTTGTGAAATGCAAAATTGTCAAATTCTGGCTAAAAAGTGTGAAAACAGTGTTTGAAGTTGGCGCAGAAGCCTAGATCGCGATCCAGCCTTCCTGGATCGCGATCTGGGGGGTCTCACAGTACATTTTTGATCAAGAACCAGATCGCGATCCACCATTCCCGTATCGCGATCTGGCAAGGTGGTGCACAGTTTTCGAGGCAAGATATTTGTGTTTTTGCAAGCCCCCTATAAATAGAACAAACTTCCTCTCCATTTAGACTTCTAACACTTCCGGCTTCAACTTTTGCTTCGGTTTTCTCTTTGGTTTTCGCCAGTTCTTCGAGGGAAGCTTCGACGAGGGTTTCGACTCGGGTTTTTCATAAGATTTTCTTTACGTTTAGTTTATAATTTCTCGTGTTCTTCATTTTGATGCTATGTTTGTAATGAACTGAGCATTTTCTTTTTGTATATATTGATTTTGATTTCCAGATCTGTGATCTATTTGTCGTTCTTTGATTCTGTTTATGTTTTTCTGCATTAAATGCTTTCGATTGTTTGGCCAACAGTTGAATTGATTCTAAATGGGAATGAACTTGAGAGAGGATTTTTCGTTTGATTTTAGGAAAGCATAGCTCGGGTTGTTGAAACGGAGACGTGATGCACCTCGGGTAGCCCTTAAGGACTTGACCTAAATGCTCTCTTAATATCAGGTTCTGAACGGAGACGTCGGACCTGTGGGTAGACTCTAACTACACTGGAGACGGGGTTAGGGTATTTTAGTGTCTGGGTTAGCGAACATAGAATTGACAATAGATTCGGATCTGTAGATCTTTATCGATAGTACACTGGTGGATTTTACCCAAGAAGCATTCACACGTCGGAATTTCTCGCTTTTACTGGCGGACCGTTGTTTTTATTATTGTTTCCTTCTAGCTTCATTTCATCCTCCATTCGTTCGTATGTCTAAATAAAGTTTAGGATAGTATAATTACGGTACTTGGTAAATTTAGGAACTTAATTCCCTGTGGATCGATATCTGGAATTCACTATTCTACAAAACGCGATACTGTACACTTGCGGTTTTTCATACGTAGGTTTTACGCGTATCACCGAGCGGGCCCCACGGCCATGCTAATCCCATCATGTACACGCATATGCACACCACCACCAACGCCGCGAACTAAAAGGGTATATCTATCACGTTTCTTGACACCCCGATTAGCCCCGCTATAAGTGCCTGGAAAATGAACATTTGCACGCCGCCTTCAAGGAAGAGACTCCTCCTCCCCCACTTATCGGAGCCGTAGATTGACACTCCGGTGGCGAAACCTAGTGTGGTTCTAAGGTGTGCACTTGCACACCATTGAATTAATTTTGATAGTTTTGTTAATTTTGATTTTCTTTTTCTTTCATATATTATATTGGTATTACTTTATGTGGATACGTATTTTAGAAAACAAATTGGAGATGTTGCTCCCGAACACCCATAAATTTTGATAAAGTAATAGTTATATTTTTTACTATACATAATTTCAAACACCCTTTGAAAAATATTCTGGATTCGCCATTAGGTGCATGTTGGATTTATCCGAAAGGTACCTGAGTTCTTTTGAAACATGTGTATGAAAATAAAACTACACAGGCTATTCAAAGGGATAGGGGATCGAAGACCATACATCCGAGTAGATGACAACAACATATATTGACGATGTTTTGAATTATATTTATCGAAATACTATTCATAGTGCATGTTTTACCTAGCTCACAATGCGATTTTAATTGATCATTTGCAACTTTTCAACAACAACAAAACTCATAACTCTCTCAAAAATACTCAAACGGAATCAGATTCGGTTTCAGCCATATTGATAATTGTTATGTTTAAACTGATATTATCAGAAGAAGAAAAAAAACTACAATTTACAAAAAATTTAAATTTGGAGGTTGAGGAAAATGGGAGAAAAGGCTAAAGAGTTTTTCAAAATATTAAATTAAAACGCAGTGCAACTGGGAAAAAATGCACTAGTACTATAATAGTGAACACCTTATTTTTTATTGACTCGTTATATATAATAGTGAGGGGAGCTCTAGATTACAAAATAAAATTCGACATATATATATATATATATATATATATATATATATATATATATATATATATATATATATATATATATATATATATATATATATATATATATATATATATATATATATATATATATATATATATATATATATATATATATATATATATATATATATATATATATATATATATATAAACAAAGAAATAATTGTACAAATAAAATTTTATTGATCAAAGTGAAAATATTGTGTTACAATCTCTAATTTGATCTCGATTGTGATTCTTCACCTAAGTAAAAGTATATTTGTTATTCAAAAATTTGGAGTTAGGTCGTCGTTGACTTAATTTCCTCTAAATTTGATTTCGTTCTTCGATAATGGTAATTCGAGGTTTTGTAACTTAAACTCGAATTAAACATTATGCCGACTTCTTGGATTAATTTTGTAAACTTCCATGGTGGTCTAAAATGTCCGAAATGTGTGAGAAACTTTCCGAAACTCTCATATTTCATCAAAATTAGTACATTATGAGATATACGACCGTCTAAACTATGAGATGGCTTATATATTCCATCGAAAGCGCGCACGAATTACTGATGAATCGTGCTTGAATCTACTGCTAATTCCAAAATTTAACAAGTCGGTATGTTTTAATTAATTAGAATATATATAGAAACTAATAGTAATAAAAACTAAAATAAAATTAAAACTTGCCTATATATATATAGTGGGGTTTAGTGGCAGCTCGAACTCGAGCTCATAACATTTTAACCGAATTAACTCGAGTTCAGTAGTACTAGATAAGACCATCTTTTATTCAATGAAGTACAAATTATAGTTCTAGTTATGCAAATTAGTCGGATAAATTAATAACGGGGTATTTACGAGCGTTTTTCACGATTTTAGCGAGTGCAGCTTGGCCAAGATCAAGACCACAAACATCAGCAAGTTGAACCAAGTAGAGTAAAACATCGGATAGTTCTTCTTCGAGGTGTTCTTTGTCACGTGGGCTCCAGTTCGGTAATCCTTTCGCAACTTCTCCTCTCCATTGGAATATCTCAGACAGTTCTCCCACTTCACCTACCTGCATTTATATATATGTATACATTATAATCAAGAAAATAAAGTATATTCTTACAATACATATATATATATATATATATATATATATGAATGGTAGTTAGAAGGCTTACCAGAGCAAGAAGCAAGTTTCTAGGGCTGTGATATTGCTCCCAACCCCTAACCCTAGCAAATTCAGATAATGTAACCTTAAGTTGTTGCAGTGAGACATCCTTAACCATATTATTATTATTATTATTAAAATTATTATTATTATTATTATTTCCTTCAATATGGGAATTCTCTACTTCCATTTCAACTATCTATCTCTACACATCTCTTCTCTATATGTTCAACTATATGTTTCATCTCTACACATCTCTTCTCTATTTATAGGGGGGGCAAAAAGTAATATTATACTATGCAGTGGATAGGATCAAGCAATTTTATGAGGTACAAAAAAAAAAAAAAAAAAAAAAAAAAGAAAACAAGAGAAAAAAGAATTATAAAAAGAATAAAAGGTTTCTCTCACTAAAATCCAAGTGAATCCAACCTAGAGCAATTAAAATATATACATACTAGAGGAGGGCCCTTTTTTGTCTTCCATGACAATTTGTTTTCATGTGAGGTTATAATTCCATGCATGACTTGATAGCACTCACTCTCATATCCTATATATATTTAGTACGAAAACTTTAACTTATCAACATATTTGTGTTCGGATATGTCTCGTATTCGACACTCAAGAAAACCTTCGGAACACCTTATGAACCATCTTGTAATTTCTGAAAAGTAATAAACATGTTTGAATAGCAAATTTCCAAATATTAATTTTCTTTGTTTCTCTAATTATTTACATGATTTAATGATTAAATTGTAAATGATAGTTGATAATAATATTTATTTTAAATATATTGTATGAAAATATTATATCAAAAGAATTTATGTATAAATAAAAACTTAAATATGTTTATGTAGCATATTTATATTTATACTCTTATACTTTTAATATTTACATATTTTCGCAAGTTCCCGTATCCACTTTTGGAACATGCCATTTTTCCGTTTCCAGGAATAATCACCGCTTCCGTGTTCGTGCTAATTTTAGAACATAACAATAAATGTATTAGTCACCGATTGATCTGTTGATTAATTACTTAATTCTTTTCTATTTTAAAAATTAGAACACAACAATATAGTAATTTTTTTATGATAATTGCGTACATTTTGGAGCTCTGACTCTATTTCTACAATCGTTTTACAGTAGACGTGTATTTCGACGATGACGGTGGTTCTTTTTGGAGAGGTAACATGTTTTTTTGCGGTTGGAGTTTGACGGGCTACCCACCGTTGGATTCGTCTTGTTGAGATCTATCTTTTGGTGTTAATTTTGTTCAATTTTGATAGTTGGATCTGTTTCTATGATTTCTTTCATTTCGCGCTTTGAACATTGGGTGGTTGGCGGCTAGGATTTTGATAGAAGGCGGTTGGGGTGAGGATTCATTGCCGGTTTGCTGGAAAGTTATGTCTTCTCTCTTTCTCTCTATCTCTCTCATAATTTTCTTTGATTTTGAGTGTTGTGAAGTTCATTTTTTTTTTGCTAATTTTCTCTAAAATTTAAATTGAATAACGTACACAACAACGTATGCAATGTTACTTGTATTATATATCTCCGAAAATAACACAACTAAATTTTCTTTTGTTTGGTTTTGCAATATATTGTAGCGTAATGGAAGCCATCGATTTCAAGCTGTAGCCGAATTTTGAGAATTTGACATTAGTTTCAAGCTAAAGTCAACTACATAATGCACATTACTATAGTTATATATATTGTAACATGTAGTAATATATAGGGGTGGTAAAAAAGCTGAACCGACTCGGGAACTCGTCGGCTTAAAAAAAGTTCGAACTCGAACTCGAGAGCTTTTTGACGAGTCGGGCTCGAGCTTTTTTTTAGTTGTTCCTGAGCTCACGAGCCGGCTCGCGAGCATTTTGTTTTTACTTTTTTTTTTTTAAATATTATTTTTTATTTAAATAATGTATAATTATGTAAAATATTATAGAAAGAATCTAAAAAGAACATATAAATATTAAAATATATTTATATATAATTACAGTTTATTTTCTATTTTGTAATTTTTTATTATAATCTACATAAATTTAATAATAATTAAAAAAATTAAAAAAGAAAATGAGATTGGGCTCAAGCTCGAATCATTCACACCCCTAGTAATATATGCATGTGATTGTGTATTTTGATATGTATTTGTTGGTTACGAGTTAATTTATGATATAAATGTTTAAATTGTGAAATTTTTTTGTCGTGTGTGTACATAATTGGTTGACCATGACTTTGAAGTAAAAAGAAAAAAATACAACGATAGTCATTTGTAGTCGTTTTTAGTACTCTAAACATATCAAAAAATTCATTTTCAACAAAAAATAGCGAAATTGATAAATGCAGGTCAAAAAAGGTTAAATTTAGTTGTCAAAAATGTCGAATGCAGGTTGACGAAAGTTGCATATAAGGGCATTATAGTACATTTGCCTCCCCAGAAAGCTATCCATAAAAATGATTTCGACTTGGTCTCATATAAACCCTAAATATAATTTATTTATTTATTTATTTATCATCATCCAAATAAATCAATTGGATAAGGAAAAGTTGTGTGAGCATGTAGTATTTTTGGCACAAGGCTATATTGATAGTGGGACAAAACAAAACAAAACAAAACAAAACAAAACCAACAATATTTGGGTGTTCCAAAATCCCGTGTTGTGCGCTTCTGACATGGTCCATCGTCTTATTAGCCCATTGTTTCACTTTCAATCCTATTTCAAAACATTTTCAATATTCTTCAAACATGTAATGATTTTAATGATCACAAAATCGTACTAAACTTTATTTTTAATAACATTAAAAAAGTATATTACTTATCTTCTAGAGTTTAGTACATGGTGCATTTCATAGTCTATAGTAAGAAAAAAATCATTCTTTTTCAGAACAGACAAGAAAAAGAAAGCGAAAAAACAAGCGAACAAAAGGGCATTCGTCATCAAAAATAAAATTTCTTTTTTATCCTTCGAAGCCCCCTTTTTACGAAAATATATGCACTCATGTTCACTTCCCGATCAATAGCAAAACGGTTTAATAACATGATTTAATCACTTGGAAAGTAGAACTTATGTGCCGATTTAGTGACGAAACGAACGAGGAGGCATTGATTGGGCTAGCAGCAATACTGTCCAAGGAGAAGCAAATTCGACAAAGTTCAGCTTCGTAGCATATTCAAATCAGTATTTTATTTTATTTTTTGTTGTTAGGAGCATTTCGTACAACTGCAAACAATTATTATGGTATTCCCCTTCGTTAGATATTCGTTTCGATATATTTCGTACGAATTAAAAATGCATCGACGGCCTTTGTTGGAGCTAAGTATTTGGTAAATGTTGAGGACTGATAGTTAAATTTCTCAGTTCGATTTCCTGTCTTGAAATGTCTATGCCTTAGTGGTAAGTCAACTGTAACAAGTCTGGTAAATAGGTAATTTTTATGATCACATCTTATATATAAAAGAAAAAGAAATAAATGCTATGGCAATTCTAATGACATCTTTGTAACTATATATTTATTTAATTATTTTTCTCTACTAATTTTTTTTTTTTTAATTATAAATTTACATTTCTTTGTTTTTATTTTTTTTCTTTAATTTTTTTGTTTTATTAATTGCTTCAGTTCTTAAATTATCAATTTCATTTTATGGCAACTAAGTTTAAATAATCTTTTGATGAATGGAGTTGTATTATCAGATTTATATGAATGTTGATATTGTTATTGTAATTTAATATTATTAATAAATTTAATTATAATAGTATAAAATATTTTCTTTAATCAGTTGAAACAGCACATTTCAAATACTAACCCATAATAATTAAAAAATCATATACAGAAACAGAAGTGAAAAAAACAGAGAAAACATTCTCAACATGATCCCCTATCAACCACAAACATGGTGTCGAATAATCGATCATTGTATCTCCACGTGTCTGAGGAAGGCATATGTTATTCTCATCGAAATGCAGACACAAGAATGAATAATCGAGCATCTCTCACTTATAGAGTTTTAAGAAGAAAAATCAGGATAAATGAAATGATTTCCAAGCACAAAATTGTTTAAAATCATAACAATTGGGAGGCTGTATTAGCTGTCAGGGACTTGAAACAAGCTTCACCAAGTTCATGGCTCGTCAATAACCTACTGGAGGGCTCGAATTTTGAACCTGGAGGAAACTGAATCGTTTCTGCCGATTGTGATGTCAATAGGAAATGGCTGCCAACTGAATCGATGGTTCTATTTATGAAGTTCGATCTTGAAATATAGTCCTTCATGCGGCATATAAATTCAAGATGATCCCTTGCCTAAACAGAAAAGAACGAGGCAAACATCGGAATATATGTAAGTTATGTTGGAAAAACCACAATAGCACAATTTGAGCAACATAAAACTCGTGTATGTTTGAGTTACAATTATTCGAGTTCTCTTAAAGTATAGTTAGCGATTCCGAAAGTTAAAGATTTAATGCCCCAACTATAAAGTGTTAAATATTAGCAATATATATCTCCACTTACCTGTCGATAATCAGGAGCTCGTTTCGGGTGTTTGAGATAGCCCATGTTAGTGATTTGATAGTCCCACAAGAAGGAAGTATGGTGGACCCACCTATTTTTGGTAATAGACTGAGCATTGCCACCGAACTTGCGATTGCCAAGCACATAATCTGAAAGAAACGGAGCAGTACAATTAACACAATCAAAACTCAAATTGAATTCAATATCGTCCTTAATATTGAATATGGTAATTTATGGTGTGAAATTGCTTCTGAAATTCTCATGCATTCTTCAACTATTCTTGGTCGACATTCATAATTTGATACGAGTAACATCATTTTCTTGCAAGGTTATTGGCTACAAAGAAATAAGTTACATACCAAAATATAGAACATTAAACAAGAAAAAACAATAATATTATGGCAGATGGTGTTTCCAGAATTTCACCATTTATTTTGTCAGACAATAATTCTTTTAAATCTAATAGTTCGTCCCCATTGTCAGAGCAAGAAGGTATGTCAGAAACTACGACAATTGGTTCATCAATGAACTTGTCAGGAAATAAAACAACTTTACTTTGAAATATTAAAGACATTTCCTGGTTCTCAGATCACATACAAATCGCATATGGAGGAAAAATTGTTGGAAGGGGAAGGAGATAATGAATTGAGAAAAAAATAGGCTATAATACGTTTTTTTAATTTGAAAAGACAATTAAAAAAAATAAAAATAACAAAGAAAAAACCCGTGTATCCAATTCCGGCCATTTTGTCCTGAAAATGGGCAACACGGCACAACTTATTGAGTTTGGGTGGGATCGGATTTTTTTTTTTTTTTTTTTTTTGTTGAGGTGGTAATCCGCAAAAACGGGCAAAATTTAGGCGGTTTAATGCTATTTACCCTAAACATATTGATAACATATACATACCGTTCTCACGAAGGCGAAAATCCCCGATTCCTTGAAATACTTTCTCATATAAAAGACTGCTCCACGACATGATTGGTTGAGGATACGATTGTAAACCAAGAACAGCATCCTTGTTGCATATAAACGTCACGAAAATAGTGCCCTGATCAACAATAACAGTACCACCTCCAGTAAACCTTCGAATGACCGGAATTTCATCTCTTAAAACAGACTCTATTTCAACAAGTTCCTCTGCTTTCCTATCACAAATTATTCATGCAACGCACATCAACTTCTTGCATATATTCTACACACATGGATCATCGATTTATTTGGCAAATCTTATATCTCCAAGATTCGACGTCTCAATCAAACTAATATTAATCTACTCTATATGGTTAATATATGTAAAGGTCCTCTTCTTGCTAAAACTAATATACAAGCAACGTAATAAAGCAAAATTTAGCTCGCTAAAGTTGAACTATACTGATTAAGAGAAATTCCTATTGGATCGATATCAATGATTTAAAAATGCAAACCTACATGGTAATCGACACTAGTTTAACCCACCAATCTAGGCATTGTAGCAAAACCGATGACTATGGTTTGAAAACCTTCCCTATATATTCAAGAAACTTACGTACATGTTCACCAAATATTACATAAGGAAAAGCTAAGAAGATTGAATGGTTGTTGGTGGCTGTGATTCCAATTTTGGAAAAGAAAAACAATCGTGAATATGGATTCAACTAATGCCGAATATAGTCCAATTTTAGATTAAATTAATGAAGTTTAATCCACAGTCCTTCGAGAATTCAAACAAACCAACATAAAAAATTTACGATAACAAATTGAAGATTCCTAGCTATAATCAACAAATAAATTCATCAAGCAGAAAGTAGAGAGAGAAAATGAAACTACTGAATAAAGAAGGTAAAATTAACTTACCCAGAGATACCCATGACGATGGTGGGGTCGATTGTGCCGTCATTGATGATGCACCAGTTCTCAGCCGAGGTCCTTAAAATTCTCTCCTCCAAATGCAATTGCTGGAGAATCGGCACTCCTTTTAGCCGGAGAAGATTGATTAATGGCAGACCGGAATTTCTTATTTGAGATACAGCCATCGCCGGTGAACTCCACTTTCTGCATAAATTAATTAACCTAATATTTAATTTATAACATTAAGCTGATAAATTAACAAAAAAAATGAATGATATCAGTAAGTTCAAATCATACGGATGATCCAAATTCCAAAACATTAACAGTCAGTAAAAATAAAGGCTGAGATTTAGGGATCAAGGGTTTCGGGGCAGTTGAAGAAAAAAAAATGGAAAACGATGAAGAAATCAGAGTGAAAATGATGATATTTGCGGACCTGCTGTAAATACTAAGAGAAACTCCGGCGGATTCCTGTCATGACTCACGGCGGTTCCGGTGGGGGCAACGGCAACGGTGACGGAGGTGGGTTGGAGGAAGTTAATTGGCTGTGTGGTGAACAAGGGGGAAAAGAAACGAATTGGAATCTGCAGAATGGGACGACGTCGTTTTGAGTTAAATATTGGCTCAACAAAAAATACATAAGATTAGATCTTTATATTAAATTTGTTGAGTTTCTGATATTATGTGTTTTGTTGATAAAATATTTTATTTAATAAAATTAATATGTAATTTGAAGGATAAAATAACATTTTACTTGTTCATGTCTATATTATTTTGATTGTTTTGGTATTCTTTTGGCACCCCTTTAAAGATTATTGGTCTTTGAAATATATATAGAGTAGGGGTGGCAATCGGAATGAAATTTTCGAATTTTGTTGATTTCGATTCGAAAATATCCAAATTTGGAATTGTATTTTTCATTCCGATTTTCAAGGTTCACTGCAAATTTCAATTTCCGATCCAATTTTAGTTCCCAAATTTGTTTAAATTGTATATTATTCATTTACCTCATTTGGAAAGTTTAAAATTTAAATATTCAATTACCATCTCTGTTGTTATGTTCAAATGTTTGCCTAAACTTATTTTAAAGTTGATAAACTGTTTTAAGAGTTGATAAATTATTATGTTTGGATAATGAGTTTATAAACTATTCTAACTAATTATAAGATCTTAAATAAATGTGGGTATTTAAAAAAAAAAAATCTTAAATGCTCTGCAACAACTTATTTTTTGAATTTTTAAAATCTACGAAACATTTGAAAGAGCTTATAAGCTCTTTTTAACAGCTTATAAGCTTAGCCAAACACCATCTAAGATTTGGTGCCTACTCTTTAAATTGGCTTAAGGCAAAGGGCAAAACTGAAATCCAATAGAGTTACATTGTCTTGGATCTTGGGTTTTACAGTAAGAAAAAGAGTACATGAAAACTCAAGAAATACCAACTTGCAAGTGTGACACATACTTAGCTTTGGGTAACTATCATAGTGTTTTGACTGGCTAAAAACTTCACACCATTTGCCATAGCACAAACTGCCATGCATCTCGTCATCGTTGAGTTCGTTGTCACTATTTTAAAAAAAAAATTAAAATTAATAATCGATCAATACCATAGCAAAATTGCAGAATAGGCAGTGGCCAATATCAGATTTCAAGTCAGGGGAATTAATTTGATATGCAATTTGTGTCGAACACAATCTGATATAACCGAACCGATTTTTTTTCATTTCCTAATAGGCGATGGGCAATATTTACTTCTAGCGTTTTATGGATAGACGCACCTTTTAAAGCCACAGTGTTGGATGATATGACAAAAATGTCGATGATGAATATCACAGAGGAAGGAAATTCCCACACCTACAGAAAGCAAACTTTTGGATCAAACAAAAAATAAACTACGAAAGCGGAATACGGGGCCAAAAAACTTATTGGTCCTACAAATGAAGATCTTAGGAGCAAATTATAGGCACTACAAGTACATGATTCCGTTAAATTAGATAAGAAAGAGTATTAACAAGAAAAATACCATCATGGCCACGAGAAAGATCTTGAAGTAACTCGAGAAGACGAGTACGAGCAATATTTGTTTCCACCTGTCAAGTGTATAGGAAAGTGAATTAATTTCTGAAGGGCGAGAAGAAGGCTATAATAATAATCCAAAAGACAAGAAATTGGGAAGACGGTGCGAGAGATCGGACAAATTTGTTATTACATAACCTTCAATTATGTACGGAAGAATATTTTTTGCAATGAAGAATTCAAGTTATAAAACAACCCTTTACGGTATCAAGATAGTCCTAATCGTTCGAAAACCAGATACAGCCCGTATTTTTAGTTTCTCGTGTTTAAAGTTTCTATACCGTTACCACTGAACAGATTATAACCGGCAACGACTGGTTTTGCAGACAAAAAAAATGGTGAAAAATTAAAGAATGAAAAACGAGAACATACACCAGAGGAATTGACGTTGGATTAGTAATAAAGATGCAGAACAAGTGTAATCATCCCTGAAATATTAAACAAACACCTCGACAAACTTATGAAAAAGGAAAGATTTGATCTGATACTAATAAATTATCGAGATACGTTTCAAGCATTTTTAACGAAAATATATCCCACATAAGAAGTGTACTACCGTCTGTTGGTGATAACATAAAATGAAACCGGTAATGGAACAAAGGACGAGCGTGCTTGAAAAAAAAAAGATCGAACAAATTTAAGAAGTTAGGTAAATATTTACCCGAAAAATTCAGCTGATGCACTCAGAAACTTCCGAGTGGCATGAAATACAACAACGAGAAAGAGGAGGTTCCCGAAGATAACACCAGTCAGCATCTGGATAATTCTCACCATAAAAAATGCGTAATCAAGTCTAAGTGCATAATCACTAACGACATTTAAAAACACTAATTAATCCGAACCTTTGTGAATTCTAGTAGCAGCGAAGAAACTCCTACAGGCGAAGACCATTCCTTTTCACTTGTGCTCAAAACCCATATTCTGTCTACAGAAGTTAAGGCACGGTGTATACTACGTCAAAACTCAAATCCAAGCATACAACAGAAACTTTAGTTTATCAAACGAAACTAGGTGAAAGTCGGATGGATCGGATTGAAATTAGTCTTTTCGGAAATTTTCCAAAAAATTTCGGAAGTACAAAATCAATTCCAATTCCAATTCCAAAATTTTCGGAATCTAAAATTCCAATTCCAAAAGGCACGCAAATTTAGGAATTTCGGAAATCCCATAAGTTTTAAAATTTCAAAACTTAGCCGAAATTTTCTAAAAATTTCATAATTTTCCAAAAATAAGAACATCCGCGTCGATAAAAGTAAAACTAATAACTGCTAAATTTCAGTTCAAAAAAATAAGTAAAAATAAACCACATCATAATATCTAATAAAACTTCTAACAACGGTTCAATATGTCAAAATCCTAAAACAAAACGTAAATCAATTTACTGTTTTAGAACAGAAAAAAAAAATTAAAATAAGTATTATATAATATTTATTATTTATAGGTGTATTTTTTGAAAAAAACGGATTTTTTCGGAATTAATTTCGGAAATTAAATCGGAAATTCCAATTTTTTTTATATAATTCCAATTCCAATCCAAAAAATTCGGAAAAATTCAAAAATCGGAATTTCGGAAGTTGGAATGAACAAAGTTGTTCCAAAATCATAATTTTTCGGATCGGAACCAGCGAAAATTGGAATTTCCGTTCCAACTTGCATCCCTAAACGAAACTAATGGATACTTTACAGTTTACAGTACTCGATCAATGGATACAGAAATCCAATAGAAGGTACGCCAAAACCGATTTCCACAACAAGCTCTGCATTGCAAAAAAGACCATTTCTACATAGGGTAAGTCGAACCCAATTTTACGATAGCAAATGTTAACGAATATAATCGTACCTCAAAGTTGACGGTCTCTTTACTGAACATATTGTAGAACAAATGCCTAAATGCTTTCGGCTTGTGCAGAATCAAATCGATTACGAGAATCTAGATAATTAGCAACATCAAGAAATCAAAATGATATTAAAATTAAGCATCAAATATGATCCAAAATTTGTATTCTACTTTGTTCGATTACCATCAATTCACACTCGATGTACTCATCAGCAACTGCTTTGCATTTGCCCTAAAAAAAATTTCAATGCATTAGAAATCGAAAATGAAAAACAAAATTGAAATTGGGGGAAAAATAAGTGTGAATTACACATCTCATGAGGCGAATGTTTCCTGGGGAATACTGAATGTAGAGGGTTTTGATAGGGAATCCACACTGCACGCATCGGAAGTCAGTAGTACCCTCCGCTTCGCTAGTAGTACCACAGTCCTCCATTTGTTTTTTTTCTGTAGAAAAGAGTAATTACAGAGAAGATGAAGCATGTAAAAGAGTAGATGTAAAAGTTAAAAGAAAAAAAAAAGGAAAAAAAGAGCCGCCGGAGAAAGGTGAGAGCGGTTACCGGAGAAGTAGTCGGAGTGGATTTGCGGCTGGCGTGTGGGATTTGGGAATTTGTCAAATTAGTGAATTTTTTTTCTTTTTTTTTTTTTTTTTTTTTAAATTAGTGAATTACTCTTGCTTGTTTGCTCCAATTTCTTAAATCTAAAACCAAACTAAACTTATAATATATAGAATTTTGTTGCACATTCTTTTTTTTCTTTTGAGATCAATTTTGCCACAATTTGTTTCTTTTTATTAAAAAATAATAATAATTTTGCTACAATTTTGCTTAGGACAAAAATATATTTTACCAAATACATTTCATTCTAAAAATTGGAAATTTATATCAAATCGATGAAAACTAGTTTATTGGGATGAAAATCATACAATGGTGTCATGAAAAAAATGCATAAATCCCCTCTATAGTTAATGGTGTTAACTTATAATGGTGAATAACTCAAACAAAACAAAAAAAATTCAAAAAAATAATAATATAGATGTGGTTGCCAGTAATATTATTGTGTTTACAGTTATTTTACTGTCAACGACAGTAATATAATTACGTTGACTTGTCAACAAATCAAACAAAATTAAATAAAAATTAACAAAAATAAAATAATAATATTATCATTGACTCTAATTGTACTGTCAACGGTAGTACAATTACATAAATATATTGTCAACGGCAGTACAATTACGTTAATGTACTGTCAGTGTAGTTGCGTTAATTTACTGTCAGTGACAGTATGATTACATTTATAATTACCGTTAATGACAGTACAATTACGGTCAACGTTTAGCAGCGGACGTGAAAAAAAACACTAAAAAAGTCAACGTCGGAATCCGACGGTAGAAAAAACAGACCAGAAAAAAAAAATGATCCAAAATTCAACGCCGGAGACCAACGTTGACCGGCAAAAAAATATTTTTTGAAAAAAGTAAGTCACAATTGAATTTTTGAAGTCAAAATTGATTAAATTGAGGTTACAATTAATAATTGAGTGCAAAGGGCTGGGGGTAATTTTGTCATATACATGAATTTTTCCTTTATTTATAATAAATATTAAATGGATGAGCTTATTGGTAAAAAAAATATAACCCCTAAACGTAGAATAATAAAGATGCTTGGTTATGGACTTATGCACAAAAACCCTTAACGGAAATGAGATTTCGTGCAAAGTAAAATGAACACATAAGGGGGTTTTACGTAAGAAAATAAACGCTGGAGAATTTGGCGCAAATTTCCCTTAACACAGTGGGTGCGTATGTGATCCTACACCTGATGAAATTCACCATGTGCCTTTAAACCATAGATCTATATAAACAACGCTAAACACAAATATATATGGGTTTGTGTTATTATGTGTAGATTGATCGTTTAAAACTACATGGTGTATTATCAGGTGTAGGTTCTCCAAAACCGAGTTTTGTGTTGTTTACCCATTTCGAAAAGGGTAAAACTCATTTTGTACCACTGTACTATGTGAAATGTATCATTTACACCCCTGATGTATAGTAAACATCAAACACCCCCTATTTTTAACGGTGGTAAATTTGAGTGTGCAGTGACTCTTTTGCCATGCTTAATGTCTGATATAATCCCTAATGTTTTTTGGCTTATTTTTTGTGGATTATTAACGATTTGTAGTGTTCATTCAAATTGTTGTCTTTTGTCGATTTTAGTATTTGATTTTAGGGTTTTACGGTTTACTTTTTCGGGGGATTTTCCTATTATAATATGAAAAGCTTTGTTTTTAATTTGCAATTATTTCATATAGTTTTATGCCAATTTTAGAATTTCTTTTAGATTTCAGGAATTTTAGTTTTTTTTCTTTTATGCATTTTACATTCATTATCTGCAAAGCTTCATTCTTATTTATTCAACTTTTCAGTTTTTTTTCAAGAAAAATGACTCAAAAGTGAATTCAAGAAATTATGATAGATAATCAGTGAATAAAATCAAAACTAATCAACACCTATATATAGAAAAAAAATTAGGGTATTTTCGTAAAAAAACTCATCATTTCCTTACAATAGCCGGTCAAAGGGTTTGAGTAACGAAAATTAGGAAAAAGACCAACGTAGGGGATGTTTGATGTTTTCTATATCTCGGGGGTGTAAATGATAGATTTTGCATAGTACAGGGTGCAAAATGAATTTTAATCTTTCGAAAAGGCTTCGAAACACAATTACTCTGCAAGCATGTACAGTAGTACAGTACACTGTACTCCCAACAACACAAAACGCGTACGTGTACAAATCAAAAAAAAAAAAAAATCGTTTACGTTGCGCTATTTCAAGCCTTCAAATTTCTCATCATCATCATCAATCCTACAACCTTCCGAAATTCCTCAATTTCACATGAACCCCAAGTGGGTTCTCCCAATTACCAAGCAATGGCGGCGGCGGCAAGAACTAACGCCTGCATGAAAAAACTCTCACTGCTATCCAATTCGGTCAACAAGAAAGCAGGATCAGCATTCGGGTCGGGTTTTCGAAGGTGGGTTTCCGTTGAAAAAAATGATGAAGAATTGAGTAAAGGGAACAAGGGTTTTGCCGCTGTGTGGGGGAACGGCGATTTCGGGAGGCTGGGTTTGGGCAATTTGGAGTCCCGGTGGAGGCCTCACCCTATTCCGCCGTCGGCTTTTGCTGATCGGAGTTTGAAGGAGTTAGCTTGTGGCGGCGCTCATACCCTTTTTCTCACCGGTGAATTTTCTTTCCCCTCTCTCTAAAATTGAATTTCCTTTCTTTTTTGTGGTGGTGATCGGAGTTTATGAATGTTTGATTGGACTTCAATTTGATTATTATATTGACTTGTGTATAATCTAACGTCGCGTGAGGTTCACGCGCTCCGATGAATTTTAGTTGATGAATTTCGTAGACATTTTGCGTAGGCAACGACATTCGTTTCTCCGTGTTCGTATTGATTGTAGACGGCTGATATTGAAAATCTATAACTGTACTGTGTTTATTTTCGACTTTGATGAGAAGCTGCAATCTTCTATTAGATCAAGTTATTGCCGAGGATCATAATTCGTAAACTAAGGATGTTCTAAATTTATTGTGTTCCGCCTTTGTTTCGTGTAATTGCTCGTGATAATCGAACCATCACTACCATTTTGCTCTTGCTTTTTAACATAAGAAAGTTTCCTACAAGTGTTGTGCGTCTCTGTTTCCCGGAGTTTCCTCGTCGATAGTTCACTCTATCGGGAAATTCGGAATTTATGTGGTCTCTCTATTTTCATTTTTCAGCCTTAAAATAGTTGCTTCAGTTTAACGAAAAAATTAGATATCGTCGAAAACTATTTCTATTTCCAAGCTCGTTAATTAGCTATGCTGATCTGGCAGATAGTGGTGATGTGTATGCTACCGGACTCAACGACTGTGGACAGCTCGGAATATCAGACTCTCGAGATTATACAACTGTATGCTAGTATCTCATCATTATTAATCTTTTACTCGTTTTTTTTTTTTCGGAGCCTTATCGATTTGATGGTCCTGATTTTGGGTTTACCGGAGAATTTTCATATGGAAGGTTTTGTTAATGAGAGACACGAAAAAAACGAAGAAAAAAAATTGATTAGTGAAAGGTTCTGTTGAAATATTTCTCATTCTGTTTTTCACAAATATGTTGTGTTCCGATTAGTGGAATAATTTAGGCCTCGTTTGGTTGTCAAGATGAGATTAAATAATCTAACAAAAATCCAATTATTTTATCCGACAAAAAAGCTCCCTGAAAGGCAAGATAAGCCATGATATGATAATATTTGTGGGTCGACCTGGTAAAGTTATTAGGAATATCCAAACATCAAACAAAGTCCAATTATTTAGTTAATCATGGTTAATCTCCCCAACCAAACGAAACCTTAATGTTTTGATTTAGTGTGTGCTCTGGACTTCATGTATATTTAGTTCATTCGAAATAATTATTGCAGGAACCTGTCAGGGTTTCTATTCCTAAACGGATTATTAAAATTTCAGCTGGTTATCATCATTCAGCTGCTATTACAGGTTTTGTTATTATCAAGAACCATTTTATTTTGGGTAAATTACAGCCACCCCTAAGGTTAGGTCAAATTACGAAAAACCCCCTCATGTTTGGGTAATTACAATCACCCATCAACTATAAATCTTCTTACACGTTCACCCTTGCGGTGTCAAATTTAGTGGAATCTTCAAGATTATGTGGAATATTCTCCAGTTTGTGCCCGTTTTACCCCATTCGAGATCCACATTTTGAAACAAGATGATTGTAAGATGTATTTCTTGGCTTGTAAATATACATCAAAAACTGCATTGTTGCACAAAACGAGTACAAACCCGAGAACATTCTACGGACGGAATTTAGAAGATTATGTTGAATTTGACACCATAAGGGTGGACATGTAAGAAGATTCATCGTTGAGGGGTGGTTGTAATTACCCAAACACGAGGGGTATTCTCGTAATTTAACCTTGCCTCCGTGGGGTGGGCCGTAATTTACCCTATGTTTTAATTTTCTAATTCAGATTTTCATCTCATCATAATCCATTTACAGTAGATGGAGAACTCTACGTATGGGGAAAGAATGCAAATGGACAGCTTGGCCTTGGAAAAAGTAAGTAAACGGGCCCTAGGCCTAGGCCCGTATTATTCTATAATTAGTTATTAAAAAATTGTATACATTGTGCTTCGCTCGACTAAAGTTGACATTTATTTGCATGCAAGGTAATCGTAAATTCGTCTACTTCAAAATTTTATATCTGCAGTGACTGTAATATAATCCTCACTTCTTGATTACAAACCTGCAGAGGCGGAAAAGATGGTTCCTCGTCCTCGTAAAGTTGAATGCTTGGATGGAGTCGTCATCAAAACGGCATCTTTAGCATCTGAACATTCGATTGCTGTTACAGGTCTGGCTACCGTATATATTCACATTACGGTGACTTACAATTACTTACACACGACGTTTTCTTTTTCTTTTTTTTTTTTGTTAATACTTTACTATATATTTCTTTTGGCCAGATAAAGGCGAAGCTTTGAGTTGGGGAGGAGGAGAATCCGGAAGACTCGGTCACGGACACGGATCGAGCATTTTGGGTTTTCAAAAAAGTAGTAGGTTCGTTTTTTATTGGCAAAGATGTTTTTTTATTTATTTTTTATTATTATTTTTTTAATTATTGGCGAAGATGGCAATTTTGTAATAACAAGTAATCTCTTATGTTGCTGGTCTCAAATGCAGTGAGTATACGCCACGACTAATTAAGGAACTCGAGGGAATCAAGGTAGTTCATATTTGGAATATTCTTTTTCGTTTCACTTTGCAATAACTTTCAATCCGAGCACGTTGTGGTCGTTGCATTCAGAATAATTTAATAATATTTATTTTCGAAATAATTAGGTCCAAAGTGTTTCCGCGGGAATGCTGCACACTGTCTGCATTAGTGGTATATTACATGCTTTTAATTGTATCTTAATTTCGATACGACAACCATAACGCAAGTATTTTTTTTAATTTTTTTTTAATTTTTTTTTCCGGTTCACAGAAGATGGCTCCGTGTATTTCTTCGGTGAAAAAGAATTTGGAAAATGGGTAAGGTTCAAATTATGCGATGTTGTCGGTTAGTTTCCGACCTAATTGTTGTAATTGTAATTTCAAAAATTTTAGGGTTTTGGCAAAGCAAAGAGTGCGACAACACCATCCACCGTTAGCTCATTGCCGTTTTCCGAAGAAGTTGCATGCGGTGGTTACCACACCTGCGTTATTACAAGTAATCATTCGTCCGATCAATATGTTAAACACTTCGTTCGCCTTTTTTCTAGGGTAAATTACAACCACCCCTGAGGTATGGTCAAATTACGAACCCCCCCTGTTTGGGTAATTACAACCACCCCCTCAACTATAAATCTTCTTACACGTTCACCCTTGCAGTTTCAAATTTAGTGGAATCTTCGAGATTATGTATATATCAGATTGTGGTGCATCAGAAACTTTATTTTTACACAAAACGAGTACAAACTAGATCACATTCCACGAAATCCAAATGATTATGTTGAATTTGATACAATAAGGGTGGAGGTGTAAGAAAAAATCATAGTTGAGGGGTAGATGTAATTATCCAAACAAGAGGGGTTTTTTCGTAAATTGACCATACCTCGAGGGTGGTTGTAATTTACCCTTTTTTTTAATTAGAACATCTTATATGACATAGATGGTGGAGAACTGTACACATGGGGGTCGAACGAGAACGGCTGTCTTGGCATCGGGTATAATAAATTCCCTTCACATATTATTTTGTTTCGTTTATCGGTATATAATAAACATACTCACTTAATATAGTTGATATATTATATATCAGCTGCACAGATATTGTTTATTCACCCGAACGAGTCCAAGGTCCGTTTTTGAGGCAACCCGTTACCAAGGTTTGTAATAATGTCTAAGAAACGATATATTTATTTAATCTAATAGTCGGAATTTATTTTCTCGATTTCTTTTACGTTTTACGATTTTACGTAAACAGGTATCGTGCGGTTGGAAACATACAGCAGCAATTTCTGGTAAAGATTTCTTACCGAATATCTGAACAATATTGGATGTGATAAGTTTTAACACTAATTTTATTAAAAAAATTATGTCTATATTATTTATAAAAAACAAAATTGAGTTTAAATATTAAGAAAAAACATGTAATTAAATAAAATACTATTTAATTAATCCTACTGTATGTTAGTTTCTTGATTTTCTCGTATGAAGTGATCGAAATTAATTTAAATTATTAAATATATATAGGAGGCAATATTTATACATGGGGATGGGGTGGTTCAAATGGAACGTTCCAAGAAGATGGTCATTCACCGGGCGGACAATTGGTTAGCTTTTTTTTTTTTTTTTTTTTTCTCTTTCTAATGAAAAAAAAACCATTTTAATTTCGGTTGTGTTTTAGTATTATTTCGTTTTCGCAGTCGTGTTTTTGGTTTGTATCTGAATTAAATTTTTCCCTTTTTTTCTAGGGTCAAGGCGACGACGTTGACTATATTGAACCAACGTTGCTCGACTTGGACAAGAGTGTCGAAGCATTGCAAGTTTCTTGTGGATTTAATCATACAGCTGCTATATTCCAATGTATCCCACTTTTTTATTTTTTTTAATTATTTTTTTTTATATTAATGCAATTTTCATTGATAATTTCGCCTTCATTCGTTGCAGGTACATGAAAAAAATATGCAAATAAAAGTTACATATATCCTACTAAAGAAAATTCCGGGATGGATTGGAGCAGAATACAGAGGTTAGTAACAGTAGCGAAATATTAATCTATCGAAATATTTCAGAACTCGGGACCGCGAAAAAGTATAATTTTACTGAGGTTATTAATTTATCGAGACTTTTACTGTAATTTGATCTATAAAGCTCGCCGTTAC